TACTTGCCTTTGAAGCTGTCGCTCTCTTTCTTGAGATTCTCTCTCTCTTGATTGAAGCTGCCTGTGAAGTTGTCGTTGAAGACCCTGAACTTGTTCTCTGGCCTGCCTCTCTCTTTCTTGTCCTTGTTGCTGTGCTTGTTGAAGCTGTTGTTCTCTTCCTTGAAGCTGTCGTTGAAGATCCTGTTCTCTTTGCTGGCCACCTTCTACTTGCCTTTGAAGCTGTTGTTCTCTTTCTTGAGATTCTCTCTCTCTTACTTGAAGTTGCTGCTGTGCTTCTTGAAGTTGCCTCTCCTTTTCTTGAAGCTGTCGATGAAGATCCTGGACTTGTTCTCTAGCCTGCCTCTCTCTTTCCCTGGCCTGTTGAATTTCCCTCTCTCTTCCTTGTCGTTGTTGCTGTGCTTGTTGAAGTTGTACGTTGAAGTCGTTGCTGTAGTCTGTTTCTAACTTGTTTGTTTTCTCTTCTCTCCTCCTCTAGTTCCCTTTCCCTTTCTTGTAGTACACGTATCAGATGGTCTATTTCTCTTCTATCCTCAGGTTGAACAGGTTGAGATGCTTCCCATTCTCTTCTCCTTTCTTGTAGTTTCTCTTGATACTGGTCCAGAAGTATTATACTAGTAGACCAATCATTATTACTAGCATATCCTATACAGTAACACAATAGTTGAATTAATGACAAGTAAATGAACATAATAATACTATACTGAATTATGTCAGTTAGTTAATAAAACAAAAGGTTATACTGTTAATTTATTCAATATGTACAAATTGTGTATATTCAATACATTTGTATTTACATGTACTCACTGAGTTCAATAACTGGTGGTGTATCAGTGTATGATGTGCTTCCTCCAAACACAATTATCCAGCTAGTGGTTGGAGTCACACTCCAAACTGAGAGAGAATGAAACGATCTATCAGTGACACTGACTGGTAAATTAACCTATATAAAGGAGAATTATAATAAATATAATTTGCAATATTTATTGTCCTGTACTGTACACCACAATAGTCAATATAAAGTCGGAAACTCCACCCAAAAGGTCCTAAATCACATACACAATAATAACAAAATACTTACCAGTTTCTTCCATGATTTATTGTTAATATCAAATATCCAAGTATTATCAGCAGGAAATCCACCCACCACTAGTAGGTGTGGTCCTAAGCTAGTGTTAATCACTACACTGGAATGAGCATATCTTTCCTTAGGCCATTGTACTGATCCTCCACAATTAGATAACTTTGAACAATTCTAAAATAATAAAATCATAAACCACACCCATACACTCAGTATTGTGAATAATAATACACACATACAATACATTATTAATTAATAACTAATGTAATTATACTAATAATACACTCACCACTGATGTATCAGTAAAATTAAGAATATATACATTGTTACTCCTTCCATCAGCAGTGTCACCTCCAAATAATATAGCACTGGAATTATTAATTGATGTTAAAGTGAAGTCATCAATAGGAGGTGGTCTGTCTCCAGTGACAGTCGGTGATATCCATTGTCCTAAAAATATCAATAATAATAATTAGTGTGAATGGAATGCATTGGGTGGAGCAAACTAGTTGATATTTCTTTGATCATATTATTATCAAATAATTAGGAGTGACAACCATGAACAAACAAGCAAGCAATTCTCAATGCAACCAGTCTGAGTGGAGAACCACCAAATAACAATACTTCATTATATTAATATAAACTGTATGTGCTCTGACCTGTTGAGAGTTTATAGAAATGAATCTCATTATTAGAACCACCCCAACTGTACTGGGCACCAGGTTGTGGTGGGGTATTATTAGAAGATTGTCCACGTCCTCCAATTACTACAAGATAGTCCTCACCGTTCACTTTTATTGCTATCATGTCACAGTAGCCCTTCATCATAGGACCATGATGAGATGTAGTAGGAGAGAGTTCCTTCCAATTGAAGGTATCAACATTAAAACTGTATACATGTAAATATTATATAATAATTTAATATTAAAAACTATCATGTTTACATGTATAAACTATTATGATAACAGCTATCATGACGACAATAGCCTCCAAAATAAAATATTTCCCTTCCAATGGCAGCAGCTGCATAGCCATTAACACCAAGTGGAGGGTTACCAGTGGTGGGTTTCTGCTCCCACCTACCAGTCCTTAGGTGACACACCTCCATCACAGAACACATTGATTTCTTCTTTTCATTATTATGTACTGCAGGGAGATCAGGCTGGCCCCCACCCCACATGTACAGGTAGTCTCCTACCCGTACAGTGGAGTGTTCCCACCTCTTCACTGGTTGATAGTCTATAGATAACAAGAGGTAACAGTAACTGAATGATACACTAATAGTAACAACACACCAGTCATAATCAAGTATAAACAAAATACTGACCTGGTGTTTTGGCTGCCATTTGTTTGGAGGTAACGCCCTTCTATGACGTCATACAAACAGTTTAATAAACACTTAATAATCTCAATTTTGATGAATTTTGTTTTGCAATTTTTAAATTAAAAAATTAATAGCAAAAGTATACCCTATCAACAAAATCTGCAGCAACAACAACAATAATAATAATAATAATAATAATAATAATAATAATAATAATAATAAGTCAATCAGCCAACAATGCATTATAGTTAAACAAATGTATGTTACATGTACATGTATATAAGTGTACATGTACATGTATTAGTGTATTATAGTGTGATATGTTCTTAATTAAAAGACATCCAAGAATCAGCTCCAGAAGGGGGAGGAGCAGCCCCACCCCCTCCGCTAGTAAAACTATCACCAAACATATCCATACC